ACTCCTGCTCTATGATTTTCTGATTCGGAGTCTGTGCTCATATGACTGCATCTGAAGGTATTTTAGTTAATAAATCTCCCTACATCGACTATAATTCCGTTAGTGTTGCCAATGGTGCCCATCTTCCCATTTTCCATGTTGGTGATGTTGCATTACCTACGTCTGGTCGTCCTCTCACTTTAAAATCTATTTATCATGTGCCTCAGTTAAAATATAATTTAATTTCAATAAAAAGGCCCTGCGCTGATAATAACTGTACTGTAATTTTTGATAAAAAATCTTTTTTGATTAAGGACAAAACAACGGGGGCAGTGTTTCTGCGAGCTACCAGTAGTGGACCACTTTATCCTATCAGTCTGCCGTCATCATCATCACCATTAGTTTTTGCTTCTGTTTTAGCTTCTGGCCCTGTGTGGCACCGTAGATTAGGTCACTGCGGTGATAGTATTTTACAGTTTCTTAAGAGAAAACAATTCTTATGTAGTCATACTCCCTTTACTCATGAGTGTGTGGCTTGTCGTTTAGGAAAATCACAACGTTTGCGTTTTATGGATGCTAGTCATAATTCTATTTTTCCACTTGAAATTATTCATTCTGATGTGTGGCAATCACCTGTGCATTCATATTTGGGATTCAAGTATTATGTGTGTTTCATTGATGATTTTTCTCGTTATACTTGGATTTATCCCATGTGTCACAAAAGTGAGGTTTTTGTGCAATTTAAAAATTTTAAAGCCTTGGTTGAAAATCTTTTTAATCTGAAAATTAAAATTTTTCAAAGTGACGGGGGAGGTGAATTTGTTAATCATAATATGCAGCAATTCTTTTCTGCTAATGGTATTTATTTTCGAAAATCTTGCCCGGACACACCTCAACAAAATGGGGTTGCTGAGCGCAAGCATCGTCATTTACTTGAGTTAACTCGGACCATGTTTCTTGAAGCTTCGGTTCCGAGTCACTATTGGGTTGATGCCATTTTTACTGCTGCATATATTATTAACAGATTTCCCTCTCCTACCTTAAATGGCTTTTCTCCGTACCAAAAACTGTTTAACCGTGTTCCAGATTACTCCTTTATGCGAGTATTCGGATCTGCCTGCTATCCAAATTTTTCGGCCACCTCAGCTAATAAATTATCACCTCGTTCAGTTCAATGTGTTTTTCTTGGCTATGCATCTGGTTATAAGGGCTATCGTTGTTTTGATCCTATCACAGGTTGAGTCTATGTTAGTCGTCACGTTAGGTTTCATGAGGACACATATCCTTTTCAAACCCTCTCATCTGCTCCATCGCATTCTATTCATACTACACCGTCTCCTATGAACCTCACCGATATAACTCTTGAACCACCTGCCCAGTCCACTACCACAATCACGGCCGAACTACGTCCACCGCTCCCATCCCCTTCTCGATCACCCCTCACTCCTACCACTCCTTATATACCATCGCCCTATACATCCTCCCCCCGCATCCACAACCAGCCTGCCACCATCTCCTACCTCCTCCCGTCACCACACTTCGTCCAGCCAGACAGATACAGCTTTAGACACAGCCTCGGCCGATTGTGTCTCACCCGAAACCACCTCACCTATGTCCACTACGGTAGTTAATCAGCACCCCATGCAAACCCGCGCTAAGTCAGGAATTTTTATGCCTAAAACAATTTTTAATTTAAGTACGGTTATTACTCCTGCAGATCCTACCTGTTTTACTGAGACAAATAAACATTTAAATTGGCGTGTGGCGATGGTTGATGAATTTAATGCACTCATTAATAATAATACGCGGGACTTGGTGCCCTTTGATAGTTCTAAGAATATTGTTGGGTGTAATTGGATTTATAAAACTAAATATCATTCTGATGGATCCTTAGAGCACCATAAAGCTCGATTAGTTGCACAGGGTTTTAATCAGCAGGCAGGTATTGATTTCTCTGAAACTTTTAGTCCTGTAGTAAAACCCACCACTGTTCGTATTGTACTTACTCTAGCTATTTCTTTTGGGTGGGTTATACGACAACTTGATGTTAAAAATGTCTTCTTACATGGTCATCTGACAGAAGAGGTTTATATGCGTCAGCCCCGTGGTTTTATTCACCCTCAATTTCCTAATCATATATGTCGTCTGCGCAAGGCCATCTATGGCCTTAAGCAAGCTCCACGGGCCTAGTTTCATAGATTTAGTAGTTTCCTTCTACAACATAATTTTTCCTGTAGTAAATCTGACAATTATTTGTTCATTTACCGCCAGAATAATACCATTATTTATTTATTATTATATGTGGATGATATTATTATTACTGGCAATTCTGAGTCATCTGTTACCAATTTATTTCGATTATCTCTAATCATTTTGCTATGAAAGACTTGGGTAATCTCCATTATTTTCTGGATGTCTAGGCTATTCGTTCAGCTAAGGGTATGTTTCTCTCTCAACATAAATATGTTACTGATCTTCTAGCTCGTTTTCATCTCCATACTGTAAAGCCTGTTCGCACCCCGTTAGCTTCTCGTACCACTCTGTCTCTTTCTGATGGTGAGTTACTGTCTGATTCTACTGAGTATCACATCATGGTTGGTGCATTACAATATTTAACTTTGACACTGTCAGATATTACTTATGCAGTACACTTAGCGTATGAGTTCATGCATGTTCCTCGTACTACTCATCTTTTTGTAGTCAAAAGAATTTTCAAGTACTTGCAGGGAACACGAGATCATGGATTATGGCTTCAGCAGTCTAATCGACCAACCTGTGTAGTAGCTTACTCCGATGCTGATTGGGCAGGTTATCCTGATAGTTCTCTTTCACCACAGGTTTTGCTGTATTTTTGGGTCCTAATTTGGTTTCTTGGAAGACTAAGAAGCAGCCTACCGTGTCGAAGTCCTCCACAGAAGCAGAATATCGTACCATTGCTTACACAGTACAAGACACCCTGCATATTCGGTCGGTATTGTTCGAACTTGGCTTGTCAATCACGGAGTCGGTACATTTATTGTGTGATAATATCTCTGCTTCTTATTTGACTACAAATCCGATTCAGCGTGCCCGCAGTAAACATATTCAGATTGATTATCATTTTGTTCACGAACGGGTTGCTCATGGAGATCTGATTGTTAAGCACATTCCTACTCATCTACAGCTGGTAGATATTTTTACTAAAAGTCTCTCTAGTCAACGTTTTCATTTTTAAAAGACAACTTGCACGTTGTATCCCCGCACAGCTTGAGGGGGTGTAATAGAATTATTAGAGATTTAGTATTGTACTTTACATTAAACTCTCTTTAATATAAATATTGCCATAGCTCCTTAGGGAGTAACCTTTTCCATTTTTCTCACAGCTCCAACACTATGAGATTATTTCTCTCCGATCACGAAAAAATCATATTTATGAATTTTTAAATATTAGATTATATTTAAAAAAGTGGAACGAAATAGAAGTATTATTTTAAAGAGAAAATTTTCAAAACATGAATAAAAATGTTTGAAAATTCTGAAGGAAAAATTGACAAGAACAATCATATCTTTTGCTGTTCTTCTCATAATAATCTCACATTTACATAATATCATAATAATCTCACATTTTCATCCCATCTTCTTTTGTTGGACCTTGACCAAATGATGATCTACTATACAAGTTTTTTACCTTTTCTTTGAAAACCTTATTTAAATAATAGTTTTATAAATCTGCTCAAAACGGTCTCATGTATCATTTTTTCTTTTTTAAACCTAAAATTTTTCTTTCTTTATTTTTATCCCTATACACTTTTTATTCCTTTTCCTATCCTTTTGTTCTTACTTCTTTTCCATTCTTATTATTCTAGTTCTCACTCTATTAGGAGATTTTTTTGTAAAGTTTGTCTTCAAAATAGCTCTTTTTTATCGTTTTCTTTTTCTTCTTGTATTTTATTTCATTTCTCTTTTTATGGTTTTCTTCTTAATCATTCTTTTCTTATTAACGGTCATTAATGACATTATTTTTCAATCATTAAAAGGGAAATGAAATAAAAATACGGAAAGAAAAATGACAAAAAAAATCTCCTAATAGAGTAAGTAATAAAAATGGAAAAATAAGAACAAAGAGATAAAAAAAGTAATAAAAAATGTCTAGGGATGAAAATAAAGAAAGAAAAATATTAGGGAGAAAAATGAAAAATAAAACATTGGATCGTTTTGAGCAGATTTGTGAAAGTGAGATTAGTTATATAAGGTTTTTAAAAAAAGAGTAAAAAGTTGGTATAGGAGGTCATCAACAGGTAAAGGTACGGTCCAACGAAAGAAGATAGGTACAAAGGTAAGATTATTCTGGAATTACGTAAATGTGAGATTATTAAAAGAATACCAGTGAAATGTTGGATTATTCTTGTGATTTTTTTCAATTTCAAATTATCATTTTTTATTATCTAAATAGGAGCAGTTACGGCTAAATTTGAAAAAACTTCAATGTTTAAGATTTGATACTGTCAAAACATGACATTAATTACTCATAATTGAAAAATAAAAACATTGAAAATTTGAATTACTCAAACATTTTTACCCCTATTTAGGAAATAAAAATAAGAGAAAATCGGACTTTTAGCCCCTGAAATAGTCCCCTTATTGAAATGTTGGACCCGTGTTCCTCAATTTGTAAATGACACTCCTCAATTGTCCAAATTGTTGTAAATGTGGTTCTTTGAGAGGTGAAATGTACAATGTAGGCGAATAGTACATTTCACCCCTCAAAGAACGACATTAACATCAATTTGGACAACTGAGTGGTGAATATATCACAATCGCATAAATATGAGTTTGATATTTCAATATATTGACTATTTCCCTAAATAAAAGTTTGAAATACGATTTTTAATAGGATTTGGCTACGCTAATCTTTCCTTAACAACTAACCGCCAAAGTTTGACCGCCATAACATGGAAGATTCTTGGTTCGGCTGCAAATTACCTCGCAATTAGAAACGTTCTAAAATCTTCTTCACTTCTTTAAATACTCGCTGTACAGTTGATTATTTCTTTCTTATATCTCTTCTTTTGCAAAAGCAATACTACCGCGTCAGTCACCTAGCCCAAGAGAGGATTCAGACTCTGAATTTCAGAGAAAGGTCGGTTTTCAATTTTCTCGATGCCTTCTTTGGAAGAAATTGGCATAACTGGCGCCAGAGCGCTGATTCTCCCAGTCCTCCTAAATTTCGCCGCCGCGTCTCCGCCGTCTCAAGAGAACCGTGAAGTAACCGTGGTCGTGAACGCGAGAACCGGAACGATAGACTTTCTCCAGGGCGCGGCGGACGGATTCGAGGCTGTCCTCCGTAAAGGGGGGCAGTTCCCGGCGACGAAGGCGTCGATAGAAGCGTTGCCGGTGGTGAAAGTTGGCGAAGAAGGGGAGGACTGTGCGATCTGTTTGTCGGAGTTGGAAATAGGAGGAGAGGGGAAAGAGATGCCTTGTAATCACCGGTACCATCCGGATTGTATTGATAAGTGGTTGAAGATCCACGGCTCCTGTCCGATTTGCAGATTCCAGATGCCGGGAGAAGTTGATCCGGATCTAGATCACAACTCAGAGTCGCTGCAGGACAGGGCGGATATGGTGTTTCATGTATTCTACCGGACGGGCAGCGAAGATAGTTCTGATTTAGAATGGGATCACCAATCTGAAGCTCATCCCGGCGGTGCTGAATCTGACGAAGATCTGAATGCCGAGACCGAGACAGTAGTTTTTTTACAGTAAATAAATTCTTAGATCTGTAAACAGATAGTTTGTCAGTCAGTTAAAAATTACAGCTTTCCTATCCTCACAATACCTCTATCATAATTTTAGAATTGTTTGCTTGAGAAATCGCCGCTTTTGGGAACTTTAGATTTTGGTTTGGTCAATTTAGGGATGTTTGGATCTAATTCTTAAAACTGTTTCTGTTCCGTGTTTGGATGAAAATGTAGAAGTGATTCTGGTGCTTTAATTTACTCCTATACTCAGTTTTTTTAGAAGCTGGGGGTATCAGCTTCTGAAAATTTATTCTGATTCTGCTTCATTCTTTAAAAAAAGAAGTCGAAGCAGAATCAATTTCAAACACCCCCTTAAGTAGCAATAGATTTTGGTTTATTCAATTTAAGGAACCTTAAGTAATTTTAAGGTGCGTATGTGACATGAGAGAGATATCATAAATATTAGTAAATAAATTATATTTCTCCTTATTTAAGTGATTTTGTACAATTTTCATAATTTTTTCTCAACAATATCGACACCAATGTCAACATCTAGTTCATTGCGAAGAAAAACTTATCAAAATTGTAGAACACATTCAAATAAGGAGAAATAACTCATTACCTAATATCTATGTGGATATTTCTCATGCCACATGTGCACTTAGCACTCATACATTATAACATTAGATATTTCTATTCCTAAGATGTATTTATCGAACAGGGTTAGAGCAAGTAATTATCAAACATGATTCAAAATCTAAAGTTCAAGTAATTGTGAACCGTAGAACAAGGAATTTATGGAAATGTTTTAGTTTCCTGTTGAGGCATTGAGTCCTAGATCCAAATCCCCAAGCAGCCCACTCAATCAACGGACCAATAGCCGCTCACGGATATCTGGGGTTTTGTACGTTCCATGCTGTCCTAGTAACGGGAGAATTCTGATACTTATGTTAGGGAAACACATTTAATGCATCATACTTCGTATATGAGAAATTTTATGGTTACCCTACAACTATTACATTGTAGTATAAATTATAAATACTCGCATTGTTAGAGGTTGACATAAAGGATCTGAATTGTATAAATGTATATATTATATTAAGTGTAATACATGAGTATATATACATATAGAATACTAGTGTGCCGTGGTGATAGAATTGGTAGTTGCTAAGTGTTAGGCTAACTATTAGGCTAACTAATGAATAACGGTGCTGATCCTAAAAGTTAGCAATTGATTGGCATGCCAGCCGTATGACACTAGTCTATACAAATGTACATAAAATAATAAATGTACATAAAATAAGGATCATGATTTAATACGCCCCGCAAGATGGTGGTTCCGTCGGAAACGCCCAGCTTGGTCCGAAATTTCTCAAAGATTGCTTTGAATAATGGTTTGGTTAAGATATCAGCAAATTGAAATTGATTAGAGATATGTCGGACTTCAAGTTGTCTGCTTTCAACCAAATCACGGACAAAGAAAAAATCCAAGGCCACATGTTTCATGCGTGAATGAAAAACCGGATTACTGCATACATGAGTTGCTCCAAGATTGTCACAGAAGAGTTGTAGAGAAGTGGACAATGTGATCCCAAGTTCAGATAGAAGATTACGAATCCACAGAGTTTCAGCACTAGCATGAGCGACTGCTCGGTATTCCGCCTCAGTCGATGACCGAGACACTATCTTTTGTTTTGCAGACTTCCAGGAGATTATATTAGGTCCCAGATATAATACATAAGCTGTGGTGGATTTTCCCCCATCATGAACACCACTCCAGTCAGAATCAGAGAATGTCGTGAGAGTAAGTGGGGTGGACCTTCGAAGATATAAACCGTAATCAATAGTGCCTTTGAGATAACGAAGAACACGCTTGACACATTGCCAGTGAGTTGTAGTGGGTGCATGCATGAACTGAGAAAGTCGGTTAACCGCAAAAGATACATCAGGCCGAGTGAAGGCCAAATATTGTAATCTACCCAGTGCCCGCCGGTAGGTGCGCTGGTCTGTAGGAGCTGTGCCATCCGTAAGCTGCAGTGGTACGTTCGAACTCATGGGAGTAGCATTTTCTTTTGCACCATCTATATGAAACTCCTCCAAAATCTCCACAATATACTATCTTTGAGAAAGAAAGATACCCGCCGAGTGAGGGATAATTTCAACACCAAGGAAGTAATGTAAATCACCCATGTCTTTGATAGAGAACCGGTGAGTGAGTTGCCCAACAAAGGTGTCAATAGCCTTGGAGTTATTTCCTGTAAGTACAATATCATCTACATACACAAGAAAGTACATCAAGAGAGTACCATGAGCATAAACAAATAAGGAGGAGTCAGCCTTGGATTTTCGAAATCCACTAGTGATGAGGAATCGAGAGAGCTCCAAGTACCAGGCTCAGGGGGCCTGTTTAAGTCCATAAAGTGCTTTGTGGAGCCGACACACTGAGCGGGGCTGACTGCTATCCACAAAGTCGGGCGGCTGGTGATATGCACTAATTAGTAGTGCATAAATATATTTTTTTATGATTGATTTGTGTGTATTGTTTACCGTTTTATTTAGTTTGTAAACATTTATGTGAATTTAGTTGTAATTATATTTTAATCTTCATTTATTAGTTGTAAAGTAGAATTAGGAATTATGGTGTTGTAAAGTAGAAAAAATCAAGAAATTTGACTGCCCAGGAGTGAAACCCGACCGGGTAAAAACCCCCACCCGGTCGGGTATGATTTAACAGACGAAATTGCCAAGAAAGTCACTGGACCCGGTCAGGTCCCCTACTTGACCCGGTCGGGTCAGATGTGACCCGGGACAAAACGACGTGCAAAGATCACCAGAACGTGGCGGATTATCTGATTTTGACCGGACCCGGTCGGGTAAGTACTTGACCCGGTCGGGTACCCGGCCAAAGGTGTTGAAAAACACCTATAAATTGCACACTTTTTCTTCTCTAAAAATCATTCCTTCTTCCATACTCTTAAGCTCAGTTTAGAATAGTATTTCTTTATATTTTTCTAGCTATGTTTAGTCTCCAAATGAGGAGCTAAACTTCCATTCTTGGTGTTGCTCTTGAAGCTTGTTGATTATTAAAGTTGTGAGTTATTTTTTTAACTTCTTTCCTTGAATATTAATTAATAGTTCTTTCCTTAATACCATCTCTATATTAATGTTGGGGAGTGTTGCTAAGATGACAATTAGTTAACATCTCGACATTAGTTAGAATGGTATTTTCTTCCTCTATATTAATGTTGGGGAGTGTTGCTAAGATGACAATTAGTTAACATCTTGATATTAATTATAGTAGGATTCATCTTCTTTAATAATATTCTTCCTTGAATATTAATTAATTCCTACTCTTATTTCATATTAATATTTTGAACATTACTTAAAGGATCAACTAGTTTTGTTTCATATATTAATTATTACTAGAAACGATCAACGAACCGATGGTTAATCGTTGATGGTTTCACAAGTAAGTAACTTCGGTTTATTAATGCACGGTCGTGGTTAATAAACTTAAGAGAGATTAATTTTGTTGGTTAAACCGAAACCGCTTGTGTTGAGGTTATCAATCTCAATTGATTTCATCAAGGAGTTAGAAAGATTAAATGCTACTATTAAATCGGTATAAGACGTTGTTCTATATTTGATTAATAGTAAGGGTTATTAATGAACGGTCGTTGTTAATAACTACCCTCGATGAAGTGGATATACTCCCCGATTGAGTATTTGAGAGGGAATAAGTTATAGATATAATAATGATCAACTAAAATATATCAACAAGTGGAAAGTAGCAATGCCAAGTCCTTTTTATCTTCGAATTAAATCTCATATAGGTCGTTCATCTTAGTTTTTAATTAAATTAAATCACTCAATCCAAATCCCTCCTTTATTTACTAAGTTTCATAAAAAGAGAATTATTCCTTTCCCTGTGGATACGAACTCTACTATGCTATACTACGTATAAGTGTTAGTATTGAAAATTATTTTGACGCACCGTGACAAAGTGCTCGTCAGCTGGACCATATATACTTCTTCGGAGATGGTACCATGCAGAAACGCGTTATTAACGTCAAGTTGGCGAAGAGGCCACTTCTGAGATAAGGCAATACCCAGGATGATCCGAATTGTGGCCGATTTGGTGACCGGACTGAATGACGGGTGGTGGTGTTGACGAATGGACTACCGAAATATTTAGGATTCGGTGCCCGTTGATGGATGGGACGAGCTGGTGTAGTAATATGGGTTTCATATGGCGAAGGAATGGGGGAGGTAGGAGTGGATGGAAGAGGATGGGTTCGGTGACTGAGGTGTGTTGACTGGAGATAATTGGAGAGGTGGAGATCCAGGTGTAAAGGGTGTCGTGTTAGGTGTGGGCGGCACATGCAGATGAGGGGAGGGTGGGGCTACGTTAGTTGGCAAGATAGGAATGAGGGGAGGAGTATGTGATTGCAGGGGATGGGAGACAAAGGTTGACATATTAGGTGGGGAAATGTTTTGTGGTTGAGGTGCAGGAGTAATGGGCAATATAGGTGGGGTAGTGTGATTAATTGGAGTGGGTTCCAGGGATGTGGGAGAAAATTGAGTGCATGGAGTGGGGGGTTACGTAGCGGAAAGAGATTTGGAATGAATCACACGTGTCTACTGATGTATATGCGGTTACTGACGATTTCACAGCACACATTAGCAGATTGGGATGTAGAATATCCCAGAAAAATACATGGGGAGGAGCGAGGCTGCAGTTTATTTGAGGCATATGGTCGAAGCCATGGGTAACACAAACAGCCAAACGGGTGAAGTTTATCATATTTTGGGAGGTGATGATACAATCGAAAGTACGGGGTGTCATTGTCAAGGACGGGCGTGGGGAGTCTATTTATTAAATAAACCGCGGTTTGAAATGCATAGGACCAGAAATGCAACGGAAGACCGGAATAGTGTAATAGGGCGAGGCCAGTGTTAACAATATGGCGATGACGGCGTTTTGAGATGCCATTTTGTTCAGGAGTGTGTGGTGGAGTGGTTACATGGGAAATGCCGTGAGTATTCAAATACATTCGTAATTTAATATACTCACCACCATTGTCAGAAAATAGTGTACAAATTTTATGATTGAAAGATTTTTCGACTAACCTGTGAAATTGAGGAAATATGACAGACACATCCGATTTATGGTGCAACGGATATAATCACATATACCGGGTGAATAGATCCACAAAGAGGACATAGTAACGATAACCATCCAAAGATTTTTCAC